TTATGTAGCTGCGAGCTCCTATTTCATGGTGTAAAATGTGAAGTCAACAAAAGCTTTTTTGACCATAATAATGTTGAAGCCGCCTCAGACTTAGCGTGTTCTCCTCAAATACCTGAGATCAAAACCGTTTAGGACTTTCTTGAAGTTGATGACACTTCCGTACTGGACATTTGAGCCTCATCTTTTGAGGAATTTGAATGTTGTAGTGACTTTTGGAATGCAGATGCACTCCTTTCTGAGTTTTGTGATAATGCCTATCAAAGTATGCACCACAAAATATGCTACCATAACGACAGAACCCATCTCACTCGTCGCATAAAGCACTTACGTAGCAATCGTCATTCCAAGTATAATGATCATGCTTCTTGAGTTGATGCATTGAAAAGTAAATAAAAGCTAAAATCAAGAGGCTAAGAACTCCTACTTTAGCAATGCCTTCCCTACACTTATGAAAAAAATCCATCTAGCTTTTGGAGGTCCATAAATAATGCATCACCTGTGCACGCCTCATAGTTTATTCTTGATGGCCAATCCTCCTCTAATTCTCCAGCTATAGCAAATGTCTTCAATATTTACTTCATATCTGTCTTTTTTTTGTTATCTATTGATAATCGCAACACTCCATTTTCTGCGTGCAGTAAGCTACCTGCTCTTTCTAGTTATAAATTGAGCCCCTCTCAAGTGCATAGCCTAATATTAATTTTGAAGTTACTAAACACTCTGGCCTGGATGGTATGCCAAACATATTTTTAAAGTGGTACTCAGTATACGGTGTGCTAATTATCTTACCACAATATTTAAAAAAGTAAATATCTGCAACAGTTCCCCAACTGTGAAAATTAGCAAACATCCTGCCCTTAAGTCCAAAAACAAGCAAATACCAGATTATATGCCAATATTTGTGCTTTGTATACCAGCTCCACACTTTTGGAGCATTTTGCCAACAAATAGAATGTAGAATACCTACACAACATATTTTCCTGATCATGGCACGACTTTTGTGCTAATTACACAGTTCCTTGAATTCATACACGACATTGTTCTTCCCTTAACAACTGAAGACAGATATATGCAATAATCAATGACTATTATAAGCATTCTAACATGGTTTGTCATGGCAACCTTCTAGCTTGTTCCAAATTTTTTAGCAACAACAAGGTGGTTGATTGGATAGCAGATTACATGTGATTGCACTCAAAACTTATTATGTTTAACCATGCGAAGTCATCTGAAGTACCGTTCACATCAGGGGTGCCTCGAGGCTCAGTGCTCGGGTGGCTTTTCTTTTTAATTTATATAAATGATGTAGCCGAGATTATCAACACCCAAATTAAACTTGAAACGAATGCAGATGACTTCGTTATCTGCAAAATTATCTCCAATACTCAAGGTCAAGGTACGGTGAATAACTGTTTATTTTTTGTCGTTTTGTAGCAGGAGTGAAACATGCCAATTGTCTAGTAACTGCAAGAATACTGTAATTAAAGCCTTTTCAATTGAAAAATGGACGCTTAATTTTACATATACAAATGACGCTGTAAGTCTAGTACGTGTTTAGAATGGTGCAAGTCTAATACATTGGTCTAAATCTTCAAACAAATTTAAAATGCGCAGCATTTCATAACAGCCCAAACTTTCAAAAACTTCGGTCTCTGACACACGTTAAGCAATGAGAAAAAAGGATGCGGACTGACAGTGCAGAAGATTTTGGTCTAACTAGATTAAGGGTAGGTTGATGGGTGATCTCAGCAGAGGCATGACATATATATGTGAGAATCTGTTGAGAAAGCGATAAGATTTACATTTTGTCGCTATGACCAGCATTTCTTGTATACACTTCCAATGAGCACATTTTATCGCAGCAGCCCCTATTGAACATCGACGCACTTGAAACCGTGTCATCCTTCGGCACAAATCAGATAGTTGAGACTGGTTCCAGTGCTCTTGCACCCATATCCTTTGTTGCATTGCCTGCACACCATACCTGGTGATTTCATCCTCAAAATATTGTGCCTGTTATATCAATTAGAATAGTTCACGTTTTTGGTTTGTTGGTTGATTTTCTGCAGAAAGTGCATTTTTTGGAATGAGCTTCATGAGTATCTGCACAGACTCGGTTCTGAGCAACTGGGAAAAAGAATCGTGCGAATATGTATTTTATTAAGCTGTATTTTTGATGGTGCTGAACATTTGTATTTAGACCTGCTTTATCTCAAAAACTGAAACAGCAGTATTTGTAAATAAATAACATTAAGAGATACTGTTGTCACTTCAACTGCTTCGCCCTTTCGGGGCAAAGCAGTTGCCATTCTAAACAGATTCTTTTTTCAAAACTCAAGCAACAAGTTGCTGTCCCCACCAAGTTTTTAATTTTAATCCTACCCCTCCACCCCCCAACCCTGCGCTGCGCCGCCGGCGATCCGATGGACCCTGCGGCATTGACATGCCGGCGCCGGCAATTTCGGTATCGGCGCAGAGGTCTACTTGATATACATGCTCAACAAATTTCAAAATAATGTTTAATTACCGAACAACCGTAATACTGAAACCAAAACAGAACCGAGCGCGCTCCCACGTGTGATGTAAACATTTGCTCGAACCTGCCTGATTGCACATACTAATGCACGCTGTGATCAGCTAAAACGCTTATGCTGTTATGGTGAATATATGTCGAATAATGTGTGGCTCACAACGCAACACCATTTGCCACCTATCGCACGCCCACCGACATAGAAAAGGAAATCACACGCTCAATTAAGGCATGGTGGCCAAACCCACATACTCTATAGCAGATGCTGCAGTGGCACATCAGTTTTCTCACTTCGGCCAGGCAAAACTCAACATCACACGCACAATGTTGCCATTAATTCTGGCAGGCAATGTGAGCGTTTTGAGGCAAGTGATAAAATTAATTTGGAAAGAATGTGCGAAACTCTGAAGCTTGCAATTTTGCATGAATGGCGCAAACGTTCCCATGAATGTACCCGGTGAATTTGAACGAGATCCATTGACCTCAAAAAATCGCCGGAGTTGACCTTTGAGATCCCTGCATGGATCCTCTTAACTTGCATCAACAGGGTGCCAAGCCATGAAACCAACTTGAGCAGAGAAACTTGTGCACAACATGCATTCCAACTCTAGCTAGTATATTTTGAGTGGGCTACATACGTAAGGAAATATGATGTGTACGTATAGCAGAATGTTAATTTCAAAGGAGGAATTTATTTGCTTCTTAATTATTGAAAATGGCATCTTCAAGCACTCTAGCTCAGTTTTATCTAATCTGCAATGGCCTTTAGCAACTGGTCAACAAACCAGCATGCCATGAAAAATACTGGCAATACCATACCAATTTTTCTAAAAACTTTAGTCTTGCAGCTCAATGGAACTGGTCCAGCAACCAAGACACAATTTCTTGTCGGAACTAGAACTACCTGCTGCCTAAGCACTCGCATAATTATGAAAACCGAAAATAGCCAATGTTGGTATTAACTACGAGAGTTTACTTTCACTGCTCGTTGGTCCATAATACTACCGTAAAATGTTTCAGATTGCAGAGAGACGTGGAACCAGATTGTCTTTTTCTTTTTGCTAAACACAGCAGTTGAAGTGAGCATATAAAGCAGTGAAGTATGCACCATATGCAGCATAGTGTTCACGCGAGCAATGTGTCAACTGTAGCAGAGAACACATGCAAGGAGCATGGCTGCCAACACAAACTGGCCGTGTAGATGACTGTTGTTCACATTTGAGCAGCAAATATTTCAAGGTTGCAAAGTGGCCGTTCCATGCTCAGTTATGCCGCATGCACATTAAAGGGGTAATAACACAAGAACTTTGGCCTTGCGTTTTTTTGGTGCAGTGTGTTGCTGGGGGCTGTTTGTATTAACAAGGCACATATAACATATTTTGCTGCAGTGCATTATAGATGATTAATTACAGGCTCCTCATTACCAACCAGTACCAGTTTTGATTTTAGAGAGCTGAAAAAAAACGACAAGCTGTCGGGTGCAAGTATCATCACCTAGTGCATGCAATGTTCAGCCATGTCAACACACAGAACTGTGACAGACTATCGAACAGACTGCATCAACAAGTCCTTTCAAACAGAAAACAGGACAGGAGTGTTCCCAAACACCTAACTTTCAGTGCATGCACTACAGCCACGCACTCGGGAACAATCGCTGAGAAGTAGTCTGCTGGAGCAAAAGTGGCAAAAGAAAAATGGCGGCCATGACGTCATCGTAATTTGTACTATTGACTGCAGAGTGGTGACGCAAGAGAAGCAGGGGGGCAATCGTGAAGTCACTTTCGAGGGTGTCGATTGTGGATGCAGATTTGAAAATTCACATAAAATACCTTCCAAGCTACATTCGCTATTAATAGGAGTATGAAGTTGGGCATGATGATAATACATAACTAATCACGTATTGCTTTCCTTTGTCTCTTCCCTTGTCCTGTGTCTCACATTTGTTATGCGCTACATGAATAGTTTGCTATTAATTTTTTGCAGATGATATACGCATTTCATGGAAATTGATTGTGCTGGCTATCTCAGCTGTGCAATTTTCTGTAGGTACCTCTTTCAAATGAATTTTTAAATATGTGCTTGCCCAAATCAGTCATTGATATGTATACGTTCACACAAATCATTGTCAAAATTATTCCGAACTTCACAATTTTGTGTCGCTACTATTCAATAGGAAGCCACTGTATGTTGTTGGGTGTCAAAATAGAACTACACTTCGATCACAAAGTATCATGCAAATATGCAGTTGCTTTGGAAGTGCTTTACAAAAAATAAATATTTGAAGATATGCCTTACAAAGAAAAATAAAATCACTTTGGTCATAATTATGACAATACTTGCTCCTTGAGATTAAGGGGAATTCCCCTAGAGTCAACGCACACAAAAAGACTACATTTGAAAAACTTTGCCTGTGATGCCCGAGAGAGTCTGTAGGGGACATGTCTACTGGTTGGCAAACCTAAGCACCCACCCTGAGCTCGGGCAGGAAGCATTGACGGTGCTCAAACATGCGCACACATGACGTGATGCGGCCTGCTTCAACCAGGCGTCGACTCAGCAAGCCAGGCCCAGCGTTGGCCTCTAACACCACAGGTGGGCAGCCCCCAGGCCAGTGGACCAGGTGCTCCTCCAGCAAGTCTGCACATTCAGATCAAGCTAGCAGTTGGGAAGTCATATACGGATAAATTATAAAGGACATTCAGAATTACAGCAATCTGGCGCCAATTCTGAAGCACTCCGAAGATGTCATGCAACGATTATGCTTTACAGAATGGTGACTGCAAGCGGTGCCTCGTAAAAGAAATGAGTGAGATCAATCACGTCAGTGTTGTGTACGAACAGTCTTACTGAGGAAAAAAATATTGGATGAAGAACATGACATGCGTGGTAGGCCGCTAGACAGTGCCCACAGGCCACATGCTTCACACCGCTGATTTATGAGACGACATGCAGTTTCATGTCATGCAAGGGCAAGGTGCAGCCAACGAGCATCGCAACTGATAATTTTTCATTAATAGTAATCAATCATTCATGGTGATAGTATGTAATATGGCTTTAAAGAACACACACAATGTGTAAACGTTAAAGGTTTCTGCCTGGTGTTTCAAGAAATGTGCCTCAAATCCTAAAAAATCAGGAAAATGAAATACTTTTTACCCACTGCTCTCAGAATTGCTTTCTGCAGCAGAAGGCATCATATTTAGTAAATAAAAAACACCAAAGGCATGGTGAGATTCAAACCCAGGTCCCCTGCGTGCCAGCCCAGTATTCTACCACTGAGCTACACCGATGCTTGGAACTCCTTTGCAAACTGGCCTTAGGCAGGTTTGATGCCAGGAAAGAATCGTGTTGATTAGAATAATAAAGAGACCAGGTGTGAAATAATGCAAATTGCGCAATGAGTGGCTCATCGAATGCCCTCCAACCCTTTACAAAAGCTTGATGTTGACCTATTAACTGTGGTGCATACCCACCGTGGGGGATTGTGGGGATTACAAAAGCTTCTGGCATAACCCTTCATCGTCATCAGCCGTAGCACAAAAAAAAATTCGGCAGATCCCACGTACCTGGGAATCAACGTTATGCAAAGCATGCAGAGTGACGGTGACTGTGTTGCAACTTTTTATTAAGCGACACAACATGAAATGTCGCTAAATATATGTAGAAATGTTGCATGCACAGACACATGTTGAAGAGTTGCAAATATTGATATAACCGGCAGATTGCAATTGCGCAACTATGCCAACTGAAACATGCGTATTACAAACACCAGAAGCTGATATCAAGCGCTAATGCTCTCTAAGATGCTGGTCCTGGATACTGCTATATAAATCAACTTCAGTGCATGACCCCCAACCATAATTGACATTAACCCGGCGTGATGGCTGTATCAAATGAGTACATATGTAATGTTTATAAAATTAGGTACTCAGCACTGCAACCATTATTGACGTTTCACGAAAATTAGCTTATATTAGAAAAGTAGTTCAGAGACCTGGCATAGCTCTGTGGTAGAATGCTTCATTGCCACGCAGAATTCTTTGGTTTGATTCCAGATGGAAACCCGACATTTATTCTATGCCTTCTTTGGGCCTATGCTACCGATATCCGGTATTGCTCAACGCTCGAGTGTTAAATATGCCTATGCGTGCTGTCGTCGTTCCTAGGTAGACACTAGAGAGAGAGAGAAGAAATGTAGGAAAGGTAGGAAGGTTAACTAGACTATGCATCCATTTTGCTACCCTACACATGGGGAGGGAGAGAGGGGAGTAAAAAAAAGGAAGAGAAGGAGAGACACATGTCACATCGCACACACAATGTCGAGTTGCACAGGCGGTCTCTCAATGAAGTTGCTGTCAAGTATCTCAAGAGGGCTTGTGTGGCTTTCTGTGCTGATGTGCTGAGCGACCAGGCTCCTAAAGATCTTTGCTTCATTAAATGGCCGGTCATCGAGTCTATTCAAGGCACACTGGAGAGTCCGGCGATCTTCATCAAATTGGGCACAGTGGCACAAGAGATGTTCAATAGTCTCTATACAGCTGCAGCTTTCACACATGGATGAATCTGCCACCCACGCTACCCACGCTACCCCAGTCCACAGCCGGCACAGCATTGTAGCGTCACGTCGAGAAACCTTGGATGGCAGTTGTTTCTAGAGGTAGACTTAAGGATCTGAGGGCGATTATTGGAGTTAAGTGGAGAATTCCAGTGCGCAAGCGTGGCATTTTGCGGGATGTGACGAAGTTCTCTAGCTGCGTCTACTCTTGACAAGGGCACAACAACAGTGTGGGCGCTTCATCGTGGGCACATCAGGCAGCGTCGTCAACGAGGTGGTTACCACTGATGCCACAGTGGCCCGGCAATCATTGTAAAACAATGTCGTGTCCTTGATAAGCGGCGCGATGACAAATTTCATTAATACGATACACCACCTGGTGGTAGTTTCCAAGTCGTTGACCTCGCACGCATTGAAGGGCTGCCTTGGAGTCGCAGAATATGGCCAATCTACTAGGGAATTTTTGCGTAACAAACTCCACAGCGGCTCGAAGAGCGGCGTGCTCGGATCCCGTAGATGTCGTGACGTGTGATGTCTTGAATTTGACTGTGATTGATCGAGATGGTATGACAAAGGCACCTGTCGAACTTTGCAAGACCGAACCGTCCGTGTAAACATGAATTCGGTTAGCATACGGCAAATGCAAAAGGTCCAGTGAGATCTGCTTAAGGGCTGCAGATGACAGGCTTGCCTTTTTTGATATCCCTGGCACTTCAAGGTGCACAGTGGGTTTTTTCATGCACCACTCTGGAGATGGTGATATGGTTGCGGGCGAGAATCTCCACGAGATGGAATTTTGGTTAGCCGCAACAACTTTGGAAAACGCTGCCTTTGGTCTTTCTAGTGGCAAGCTAGCAAGGGGGTGGCTAGGCACTCTGGACATGTGACAGATATGCGTCCGGAGTGTGTCGACAGTTATATATGTCGTGATCGGATGGTCTTTAGCAATACCAATTGTTGCTAACGTATTAGCGCACCGAGGTATCCCCAAGCATGTGCGACGGCCTTGGCCTTGAATGCTTTGCAGGATCCTGATGTTAGTTTTTCCGGCATTGGAAAGCACGGGCGTGCTATACCACAAATATCCTAAGAAGAGCGCTCTGTACAGCTGAAGCATAGATGACACTGATGTGCCCCACGTTTTACCAGCGAGAAATCTCATCACGTGTGTGATAGAGCTGGGCCTTTTCTTCAAGTGCGAGATGTGAGCACTCCACGAGAGATCTCTGTCGATAATGACGCCCAGGAATCGGTGACGTCTCGTATACGAAAGATTCACATTGTTGATGGAAACAGGATAATAGATCATGGGCTTGCGGGTAAAAGGGTCTAAGGCGCACTTCTCGGCGGAAATCGTGAGGCCTCCAGCATGGAGGTACGTCGACGTTATTCTCGCTGCTTTTTGGAGCCGTGCACGCACCTGGGGTCGTGTCACTGCTGAAGCCCAGATACATATATCATCAGTGTATGTAGAGAGATTTACTGATCGAGGTAGACTTTGTACAAGGCCAATGATCGTGAGGTTAAACAGCATAGGGCTGAGAACCCCGCCTTGTGGAACACCACGAGCGGTGCAATGATCAACGGTGCGGCCTTCCGCAGTAAACACGAAGAAGGATCTCCTCTGTAGGTAGCTCCGAATCTATCGAAACATTTCTCCATCGATTCCAATGTTCGCCAAGGCATCTAGAATGGCATCACGCGTTACGTTGTCGTATGTACCTTTCACATCTAGGAACATTGCAACCGAGATGTGCTTGAGGTATTTCTGTTCTTGCACAGAGGTTACGAGGTCGATGACATTATCAGAGACTAAGTGTAACACTAACACAGACACTAAGGATAGACACTAAGTGTCGATTACCTGTGGCACGTACCCGCATACCAACAGCACATACCCACTCGTGGGTATGTGCCACTGTCTGGCATGAAGTGTTTGACGACGTACGCAACGTGATTGTGACATTATTCATTTCTTTACCAATGCGTCATATTCGTGAAATTATCTTACCTTGGGTCACGAATTTGGGCGAAACAACCTCATCGAGGACGATTCTCCTTACACATATACGTACTATTTTAGGGGAGGCTAGTAAAGCTTCACCCCAGAGCTCAGACCCGAACTTGGGTTTCAAAATAAAAAGCTTTTTTTCTCTCTCTTTCTCCTTTGTGCTAATTTTGGTTCACACCAAGTTAAGGGGGTGACCATGAGAGCACCCAAACATAAGCGGCTAGATAGATAGATAGATACATAGATATGCTCAAAGTTGCCGAAGATCGCTAAGAAATGATTCACATTTAAAACACCACAGCTTTGTCGCAAAGGCAACGCAATGGAGCCGATAGCAACAAATTGGAAGGTCACGCGCAGAATGGCAAGTAGATTAAAACGTTCCCCGCGTTTCTCACGCACAAATGATGCACAAAACGTACTTACAGGTACGGATGAACACAATTAACCGTTTCAGTTGTTACTTCGCTGAGTCTGAAAAGCGTGCCCTTTTCACAAACGGATATTGTGCAACGATTGCAGAGGTCTTGTGCACCTGGTAACTACAACAGAAACGTTTTAGTGAAATCCCAAGGCCAGCCAGGACATACGATCCTCCCCACTCCAAGATAAGGGCGCAGGAGTGAGCGTCCACTTCTCTCCTCTCTGCGCGGCAAAGTACACGCTGGAGATGAGAGCATGCGCCACCGCGTCGTGACGATGTGGCGATGCTATCTTGCTGGTAATGCTGAAAACACGATAGTTCCCCTCGAAATGCCCAGGAGCAGCAGTAAGTGGTAGATATAGATAGCTTGCCGTTTGAGCGTTGAAGGAAGAACGCCTTTGTGGCTTAGTGGTTAACACCTCGCCCTCACGTTTCAGAGATACCAAGTTCGTTACTGCGCACCGGGGTCTTCTGCATTTTTTTTTTGCCTTTTCATATATATATTTACGTGTACCTATACAGTGAGTGACGGCGACGCCCACGTTGACATTGACAGCAAAATTCTGCCAACAGTGTCGATACAATTGCTATCACAATAAAAGGCACTGAAAGCCCACTCTTCAAGCTTTTGCTGTGACAAAGCTGCG